TTTATTTATTTTCTTGGACTATTATTTAAATTTGGACTTGTATGGGCTCGGGCCCAAATTCGTTAGGGTTGCTTTACTATTTAAACCTATTTTGCGTTGTAATTTTCAATTGATGATGAATGAATAATTATTTTGGTAGCTTATGGCGCATCCCTCCCCTTCTTCTATTGAATTCTTCTTCTATCCCCTCCTTTAATTTCCCATTCTTTTTGAATCTTTCTTCTGTTTCTATTAATCATCCTATTGGTGCTGCATCAAACTCAAACATGTTTAAACACCAGGAAGAGAGTACAATACCCTAAAACATTGTCTTAAGCGGCTATATACTAATCCTAATGATTTTACATCTCAATTAGGATGGAAGATAAAGAAATGGACTTGAGCAATCGCTGATCAGTGAAAGAGGAAGACCTCTATTAAGTCTTTTGCCTATTTTCCTCTCTTTAAACTTATTAGTGTTGTCATTGGCCTGTATTCCTCTCACTAAAGGTCTCTTGACTACAATTGCCAAAAACATCGTGTCAAGAATTGATGCTTGAATCCTAATGATGTCTTAAGGCCGGGCTAGTGCAAGGTGCTGGCATCCATTTGAAGAAAAGTGTCGTATTATTGGCTTTCCAAGAGTAGTAGGGAATTGCTGTGAAGCCCGAATGGTTGAAATGCCTCTTAAATCACATGCTTCTGCGAATCGAGTAAAACTTCCCGTCCATTTGTCAATCAATTTTTCACTTTTCATTGTCACCACCTCCGAATTGTGGTGAAACCTTTTGGTGTATTTGGTTGAATAGTTTAGTGAATTTTAATCCTTTTCTATTTGACAAAGAATTCTTATATGCCGATGTCAAAGACTTGTTGATTGAACTTCTCTACTAATCCATATGAAATCAGGCCAATAAACCTTTGCCAAATGCATATTTTATTTTAGGATAAGTATGTGATTCCCTTTCCAGAGCGTTGAGAAGTACTAGTGGTTGACACTGGTGTCTTCTTACTTGTGTTTCTTAGGATAGATAGCTATTCCGGGTTAGTGTTTGATTTAGTTGGCATATGTACATAATACGCTGAACACACACACACACACACACACACACACACACACATATATATATATATATATATATGAAGACCAGATGCCTTGTGTAAATAAAAAAAATTCACATCTTATGGGGGTTCCTAGGGTAAAAAATGATGGTGTAAAGCTGGAGTAAATCACTATTTAGCTGCTTTTTAGCTTTTTCTGAAATTTAGGTTCACCAGAGAGGTCAAGATGTGCATAATTTGTTTAGCTGCTTCAATTCCTTTTCTAATAAGAGCTGTTCGTGCATGTGGTGAATATATGGAGGTTTTTATTTATCTATAGCTTTTCCGATATCTGATGCAAACTTATCCCCTGGGTGTTACTTATTCAGGTTATGGTTCTGGTGTAAATTATAATTCTGGTTACGGCTCAGGGATGTATGGTTCATATGGTGGAGGATTTGGTGGATCGAATGGTGGTGGGTTGTACGGAAACAACATGTATAGAGGAGGTTATGGTGGACTTTATGGAGGTGGCATGCAAGGTGGCATGCAAGGTGGAATGTATAATGGTGGTTTTGGGGGCCCAATGGGAGGTTATGGAATGGGAATGGGGGGCCCGTACGGTGATGATCCAAACAATCCATATGGTGCTCCATCTTCTCCACCAGGATTCTGGATTTCCTTAATGAGAGTGGTAAGCTAGACTGTTTCTCTATGTTTATTTCCCTTTTCTATGTGCATTACACAGGTGATGGTGATACTGATTGTTTACAAGGCTGTCACTGTTTGCTTTCTGGATCAAATTCCCTTGTTGTTTGCTACCAATTTTTCTGTTGAGGGTTAGATTTGGCTGCTCTTTGGCATTTTGGATTCTAATAAAAATTTCTGTTTTGGTTGAGAGGTGCGCTGTGGAATTGGTGAATCTTAGACTATATTCCCATATGTTTATTGTTGACTTCATATCATATCCGAATGCTCGATGCTGATTTAGCTCGGATTTCAGAAGCTAGCTGTTGTGAAACCCCCTCCCGTAACCTGCCTTTTAAAAGTTCAAAAGCCTCTTGTTACATAGAGCTCATTTGCCTTTAACATATTAGTGGGTCAAGTGAAATTATAATTATTTTTACATGTTTGGTAAACACAAGAAGTTACTTCTAAGCAAAATTAGTTATTTAATTTGACAATAGATTCTGGGAAATAATGTAAGAAAATTTTACTCGTGATAAATCAATGATCCATACGCCTTCAATTGTTTTATAAAATTTTTATCCATATTGTACTTGAATTCTTGGATATTTTGACAGATTCTTCAATGAACTGAAAAAAAGGATTCATGAAGCTGCTGCAAATTTACATAATGCTTAGTTAGTTCTTGTTGATGTATTGTAATCCTAATAAATTATTAAAATGTTAAAAACGAGTTTCATAATATAAAATATTAAGATATTTAATTTAGGTCCCCTAGTCATTTGGCATGGATTATTTTAGGGTACTTATTTCCTCTAATTGCCTATATAAGTGTTGTTCTTCCTGCTGTACATCCTGAAAAGAACTCCAGTAAATTTTACTTATCAGCTTAAGTGGAGCCAAACGACCTCTTAAGTGTCCATTATTTATACTTAATTTTGTTTTGTTGACGATCGTAGATGCAAGGTGTAGTGAATTTCTTTGGCCGGCTTGCAATGTTGATCGACCAGAATACGCAGGCATTCCATATGTTTATGTCTGCTCTTCTACAGGTATTTGTTTGTTCTTGTATTTATTGGGTGACCAAAATCTGAAAATAACCAGTAAATAGCCTAATTTTATCATCAAAAACTGATGGGCCTTTTCGCATACATTTATATGTGGTCTTTTCATTTTCAGCTGTTTGATCGTTCCGGGCTATTATATGGGGAGCTCGCCAGATTTGTGCTGAGACTGCTGGGAATGAGAACAAAACCCAAGAAAGTTCATCCTCCTGGTGGTGAAGGGCTTCCTGGAGCTCCCAATCGCCCAGGATTTCAAAATTACGTTGAGGGACCCAAGGCTGCTCCAAGTGGTGCTTGGGATAGTGTGTGGGGCAATAATGCAAATTAACTTTCTGGCGATTTTTCTTTCTATAGGAGGACACAAGAATCGGTTGCATATCTGTATTGGAAGCTACAAATACTAATGGAAGAGGATGCTGCAAGTGTATAGAAATGTGTTATGTTTTGAAATAATAGAACATATCCTACGGCCCCACCCCCGATAAAAAAAGATAAAGAGGAAATAAGAAAAGCTAAATGTGGATATGTTGTGCTGATTTTGTTGTAAACACTCATTTGCTTTGTACCCCTGGAGATTTTAAACGGTTCTCTTGTTGATTCTTCAAATTTTGTTTTCCAGAAGCTAAACGTGATTGTATGATAATGAATATTTATCTCCTTTTCATCGTCGTGTTGGGTTCGGGGAGTATCAAGGATGGACCTAGGGATTTTGTCTGGTGCACGATTGTAGTTATCAGCTACTGTGAATTTTTTAGCCAAAATAAGTTCATGAGCTATAGTTTTTCCACAATAATAATGAACACAAGGTTTTCTCCCACCTCTCTTATCCCAAGGTTGATCCAGGGGATAAGAGAGAATTATGAATACGCTTCATGGAGCCTAAGTCACAGCACTGGTGCACGAAGCATTAGAAAGGTTTGAATTTTAGGAATTGACAATTTGCGGTGGTTCCTTGAATCCCTATCGCAGTTTCAAAAATTCGAAGTGTTTGGTGGAGTTAGCGTGGGCAGCCGCTGACCGTCCTGGCTCTGTACTTTGCTTCTTCCCTTTTCTTCTTTTTTTGGTCCGTGTAGACACACTAGAGATTTCCATGTCAAGCCCAAATTATAGTGTAGGCTGATGCCTTTATTGACCTCTATGTAGCTCTGCCCTTGGGGAGTACCACCATTACAATGTTGCAACAAGGATGGATACATCATTATTTTGGTCATCTTTCTCTGATTTTTTTACGTGGACACCCCTATGTACAAAAGTAATGTAAACTTTTTCAATATCTATTGTTGGCTCCACCTCATGTAAGGGGTGTGCTTCTTCCCTTTTCTTCTTTTTTTGGTCCGTGTAGACACACTAGAGATTTCCATGTCAAGCCCAAATTATAGTGTAGGCTGATGCCTTTATTGACCTCTATGTAGCTCTGCCCTTGGGGAGTACCACCATTGCAATGTTGCAACAAGGATGGATACATCATTATTTTGGTCATCTTTCTCTGAGTTTTTTACGTGGACACCCCTATGTACAAAAGTAATGTAAACTTTTTCAATATCTATTGTTGGCTCCACCTCATGTAAGGGGTGTGAACACCTCTATGTACAAAAATTATGTAATTTTAGCAAAGTTAATAGAAATTTTGATCTTGTTAGCACTAAACCATCGATTGAACTGGAATTTTATATTTTTTTTCAACAAAGACGAATTATAATTATGTAAAGTTAGTTTTTGGAGAAAATTTTACCTACAAAATGAGCTAATTAGCATAAAAGAATACACAAAATAATTTCTTGATTTTGTAATTTATAACAAAATTGACTATTATTTAGGGATGGATACAATTGGTTTGGGTGGTTTTTTGCCTATTTTATACCATACTTTTTAAAATGGTTTGCAAAATTTTCAAATCAAACTAAACCATTTTTGGGGTTTGGTTGGTTTCCCACTATGGTTTTAGCGAAATAATATGGATCTTTTAAATAATTGAAAATATAATAAATATTATTATAAAATAACAATATGACATAAATTAAAACTTAATTGACATAAAACTGTACAATAATAATGTATTGGTTCCTGTATAAAAAATAAAAACAATGTAATATTAGAAAGTGGAAATTACACCAATTCCTGTTTTTTAATCATTTTCAAAAATGAAATATAAAAGTTATTTGTACAAAAATCAAGTAATAATAAGTTTTTAATTTTAAATAATATTATATAATAATTAAATTAATCTATCCAATTACACACCCCTATAACCCCCACCCCATCACATTTTCACTTCCCAAACCTTAATCATTTTATCTCTCCCTTCTCTCCTTATATCCTTTCCCTTCTCACCCTTTATCTATTTATCACACCACCACTAATCCTCGGGCGATGACGCTAGCCACAACCATCCGACGATGACATCCCCATTACTCCGTTTCTTCGTCGTAGTGGTATCACCACCTTACAGGAGGCACCATCGACGCCGCCTCCGATGCGTTCATAAACTCCTCGATCTTCCCCCCTTTGCTCAGATTTTTGCGGGCCATTGCTTAGAGCGTCTTCTTTACAATGGCATTGTGAGCGCCGTGCGATACCTTTGTGCTTTAATTGGTGTAAAATGATGTTTTCTTGCGATGACAACTTTGAGAACAGCATCGATCCAGTAGTGATGTGCCCTCTATGCGCAGCTGCAGTCGAAGTATTGGTGGTATTTGTTTGTGATAGCTCAAGCCATCGCCGCTGTAGCCAGAGTTGTTGGTGATGTTTGATTGCGATGACAACCTGAGTCCGCTAGGCTCGTTGTAGTGCCACGGTTGGAGCCGAACTTCAACCAAAACAAGCTAAACTCCACTCAAGATCAACACACAATTGAATATAATTAGCTAGAAATCAATAACCAGCTCAACTTCAACCAATAACCAACTAAACTTCAATCCAAATCAACACAAATAATTTAATATGCTAAACTGGGATTCAAACATCCAACTATAATTTCATTGATTAAACTGAAATTACATAAAACGACAAACATAGATACAAAACAAAGGAAGTGGAATTAGAGAAAGAGAAGAGAAAAAGAAGATACAAAATAACATAGAAGAAGAACACATACAGTAGGGGAAGAAGAGAAGCAGAACTGAGAAGAGATACAGGAAGAAAGAGAAAGAAGCAGAAGAAGCTTACCAAAGAGGAGATAAACGCAGGAAAACAGAGGAGAAAGAAGAAGATCTGGAAGCATAGAGAAAAGGAAGAGGAGAGACGCGGGTAGTAGCCACAGTTTCAATTCATCAATTCACCCCCTCGTCATCTTCTAAGCAAGTTATATGTAGAACAAAACAACCTAAAGACCTTGGGCTAGCCCACTATACAAGCCCAACTAGGAAAATAAAAGCAAATGCCTAATCCATGACATCCTTCCCCCTTAAATTAACGTTGTCCTCAAGGTTCAAAGTTGGGATGTCTTCTTTGTACGTTGTTAGCTGCCTCATTCTCTTCGTCGTTCTTAGATTAAGCAGGTAGTGCAAGGTGGCATATGTCTGGTTGATATTATCTGCACTACTCTTTCCATCCTTAAACCAAACTGTTGGTCTGGTTGGAATTGGACTACCAAACTCTATTTTGGTTTTGGAGGTTGAAATCTCCTCTATAGTTACTTCGTTAGCAACCTTCTCTTTGCAGTCTATAGCATCAACTGTCGATATCTTTGTATTGCTTTCCAATATTTGAAATTCCAATGGCTCAACCCGCCCTACTTCCTCATTTTCAAACTTCTCTCTCTCACCTATCCTAGCTCAATCTCTGTTTCTATCTCAGTTTTAGCATCTAATGCCCCTGATTCATCCCTCACAACCACTGTTTCCACTCTTGTATCAACCACTGACACCAATTCTCCTATCTCATTTTCACGATCATCCAACAAAATTTCTGAACCATCATTATTTTAGGATTCTTCCTCAATACACACTTCTTCCCCGGTATTTTCAGTAAATCTCTTACACAACTTTTCGGCAAACATTCCCTAATTTGCTTTAGGATGGCTTGCAATGAATTCATAAAATCGTATATAAGCTTTCCCTTCCAAGTACTTCTCAACAACTCCCAATCTATTTTCATCAGGAGTTTGATGAAGTTGGAAATATTTCATGGCTTTCTTTATCCATTCCCAAGGTCCTCCTCCCTCAAACAAAGAGAGGTCAATTTTAGGAAGTCTACCATTTCTATTAAATTCACCTCTCGCACGAGCATCATTCACATTATTATTATCCCCTTGTGTGCAAATCACACTCCCAGGCCTCCAATTAACAACCGACCCTTCTATCCTTTTGTTCTATTTTCAGATCTAAACACTCTTGACCCATCATGGCCACTAAATTTTCATATTTTTTATTCAAGTCCAACATAGCATCCTCAAATTTCTCTTGCCTATGAACAAGTACCTGGAGTGTTTGATTTGTGGAAGCCAATTTATTCTCTAGTCTGCTGGACACGTCCTTGAACGAAGTACCCAAATTAGCAATCTCCAGGTTTAGCTTCTTCCGGTGTTCATCTATCACTTTAGCTCTTGTATCAATGGTTATCAAATACCCAATATATACGCCTGATACCAATTTGTCACGGTTGGAGCCCAACTTCAACCAAACCAAGCTAAATTCCACTCAAGATCAACACACAATTGAATATAATTAGCTAGGAATTAATAACCAGCTCAACTTCACCCAATAACCAACTAAAGTTCAATCCAAGTCAACACAAATAGTTTAATATGCGGTGATAGTGCATTGTGGGTGCAGTGTGCGATGGTGGTGCAAGTTTGTGGTTTGTGTTGGTTATTAGCGTAAAGGGTTGCTGTTCGTCAAAATCCCGCATGCGTACGGGTTCGTTGTACAAGTAATAATTGTAATGAAAGAGTTATCGTCCCACAGGGAATAAGGTCTAATTTCAGTGTATTCGATATAATTAAATTCGTGTGATTAACTAAAAGTTGATGTTTATTTGAATAGCTAATTAAGTTTTATAACTAAAAATTGCAAAATTGATGAGAATTTGTTTTAGAATTCAGATGAGTAAATGTATTGGATTTCCGACGCCACTGATCAACTCTTAGTTCTAATTCTCAACCTATGACAATTATCTCAACTCATGCAATTGTGACGATCGATAATTCCACTTTTATTTATTATTCTTTTCCAAGATATAATAAACCTATGATTACCACGAGACGATCCTATTCCTAATTCGAATTTGTATGGCAACACACATTGGTGTATAGGATTATCACACATGATCGCATACGTCACAAATATTATTCCTAACATTTATTGTCCATGCGTTCCAATAACATTGTTCTACCTACCGTGAGTTTTCCAACACTATGAATAAACAACTTATTGTCCTAATGGTGCGCAAATATTAAAACAACATAAATATGCATATTAAAGAAACAACAACACAAGAATTAAGATAAAACTATAAGATCTTGAATTAAAAACTAAGAGTCAATCAATTTTGTCATTCATCCAATACTAAGATATTTAGCCTAGCTTATTAATGTAGAAAAAAACAGGAAAAATAAAAGAACGACATCACCGAATCATTAAAATATGAAAAGAATCTGAAATCCTCCACTTTATGCCTTCAATTCCGGA